ATGTCGTTTTTTTCGTGCCAAAAACGCCTTACTATACCATGTCGTTTTTTTCGTGCCAAAAACGCCTTACTATACTATGTCGTTTTTTTCGGCTAAAAACGCCTTTCTATACTTTGTCGTTTTTTTCGGCTAAAAATGCCTTACTATAACTGTCGTTTTTTTCGGCTAAAAACGCCTTTCTATACTATGTCGTTTTTTTCGTGCCAAAAACGCCTTACTATAACTGTCGTTTTTTTCGGCTAAAAACGCCTTACTATAACTGTCGTTTTTTTCGGCTAAAAACGCCTTACTATAACTGTCGTTTTTTTCATGCCAAAAACGCCTTACTCGACATGGTCATTTTTTTTGGGCTAAAAACGCCTTCCTATCCATGGTCTCCAGGGGGAAAGGACCACTCCACCATTGGCTTCAAAAAAATATTCAAGTGTCTTACCCGAGCTTTGCAGTTGCAATAAAAAGTCAAAGGATGTTTACGAAACCTTTTTGTTGTTTATTTGTCACACATTTAGAAAATGAAGCCCACTATACAAATGTCCTCCTGCGCGAGAGAAGCGGCAACATGCAGAAACCTTTGGATATGGCTCTCTGATTGGCTGAAGGCTTGCCATGAGAACAATGAGGCGTTCTTCCTCTTAAAACTCTGCGCCTATTTACAACGTGCGCGGATCGTGGGCGGAGGGGGCATGATGAGTTCCTTCATGACTGGCGGTAGAGCGCAGAGGTCAGAGTTCAGCCTCCAGTCGGCGGGCAGATGCTCAGCAGATTCGGTGTGGTGTGGCACACACACGCACACGCAACATTTCCGCCACGGATCATGAGCCACACATTGTTACTCACAGAAGGAAAAAGAACAAGAACACATAAAAATAAAACTGAGGCCATGGAGGGGGCGTGCGCGTGCCTGCGTCTGTGTGTGTGTCGGGTTGATCTTGTGGTCTCAAGCCAGGTAGCTGTATGTGTCCTTCTCACCGTCCACCCGCTCCAAGTACTCCTTCTCAATCAGGATGTCAATGCATTTCTGTCCACAAGGGGGAGACGGCTGTCAGCAGCTTTCGCATTTACCGCAAGGACGTGACACGGCGACGGGAAGCCATGCGGGCGCCGGGCACCTTAATGACGGGCACGCGAGGTTTGAAGCGAGACGACAGCTGGTTGAGGACCTCGGCCAGCAGCTGCTGATGCTTCAGCACCTTGCGCATCTTCATGATGCGCACAATGGCCGCCTACGCGGAGACACGGCAACAAATTAACATCGATATGAAACCCCAAGCGCAAGCAAAAATCCATGCGCGCGCGCGCGCACACACAAAATAACAGAAAGACTATAGCGCTCAAAAATGTACGCCCGCAAAGACCAATCAAAGATCCAAACATGCGCACACGTCAGCATTACGGCAAGATTGAATTGGATGTGAAGTGGGATGGATTTCCTTCCGGACCAAGTTCGACAATGTGCGCGTACGCTGACCTGAATGAGGAGCTTGCGGTCCTCCTCAATGTTCTTGTGCGTCGTCTCTTGCTCTTGTTTCTGCTCCGTCTTCATGGGCACGTTGATGTTGACACGCAACTTTTTACTACACACACACACACACACACACACACACACACACACACACACACGTCAGCAAAGATGGCAGCAGCCGAGCACAGAGTGTCGGTGGGCGACGCGTTCTGACTTTTTGTATCCCAGGAAGAGTTTGATGACGGTGTCGGGTTTGAAGTCCACCTCGTCCACGTTAGCATTCTCGTCCTCCAGAACCTGATGGAAAGACAGACCCACGTGAGCCCGGCGCGAGTGCGTGCGAGGGTGGCCTGAGCACACGCTTGACTCACCAGCAGTTTGGACTTCAACAAGATCTGTAGAACTTGAATGAGGATCTCCTGAAAGGGAGCGGGAAGAGGCTTGAAACACATGAGGCATCACATTTTGCTTTGCGATCAAACAAACAATGACACAAATGTTGCCCCCCCCCCACCCCACCCCGTGAACAGCACAACGGGGCAAAAGTCTGCAGTCGCACCGTTTTGATCTGCGTGCTGTCGGAGAGCTGCTGCACGCTGTAGCTGTCCTCGGTGTTGTACTGCAGCAGGATGGCCATCTGGAAGGTGGAGGCCTGCAGCGTGTACCTAGGGCACAACGGGGCGTCGTGACTCTTGTCGGGACGGGGGTCGGGGAAACGGAGGACGTACCTGTTCTTGAAGCAATTGGCCACCAGCTCGCCTTTGGACAGGTGGTAAAGCCACGTCAACTTCCTGCCGCTGTGTCTGCTGGCGTAGAACGCCGTGAAGCGTTGGTAGCTTCTCTCCAGCTGAACAAACGCACGCACATGAGCATCGGTCAGGAAGTCGGCGGGCCACTCAACTGACGTGCGCGCGCACGTGTGGTTGTTACCTCAGAGGGGAGCGCAAAGGTACACGACTGCTGGAAAGGCCACGAGCCGGAACTCAGAACCTGAATACTGAAGTCCACTGAAAACAACAACAGCAAAACGTGCGCACGCAGTTTGCACTTTGTTCCCATCGAAGCTGCAACAACTACTCGCGAAACAACAATTTTGATCAGTGATTCAACTTGTAACGTGCGACTATTGTCAGATTTCTGACAGACCGATTGTCTTGTGCCACAATCGAAAATATCAATTTGGGATGCTGCGGCCCGCCGTAGCGGCCACGAATGAAGCGCACGCGCGCGCGATCGAGTGACTGACAATCGAGAGGTTCCGAGTTGGTGAGGTGTTTCTTGAACTGCTCGTTGAGGTCCTTGCTGACGCCGATGTCCTGGAACATCCTCTGAAGTTTGGACGTGTACTCGAAGCCGCACGCTTGCTGCAAAAGCACGAAGACAAACATCGATGAGGGGACGGACACGGTGACAAGATGGCCGCCGCGCGCATGCGGGCCGAGAGGTCTCAAGTGCCCGGCACCTTGAGTTTGGAGATCATGCTGGCCTCGGCGTCGTCGCTGGCGCTGTTCTGGTGGACCAAACGCTTGGCCAGCATCTTGGCGTAAAACTTCTGGAAGACGTCCTTGTCCTCGATGTACTTGAAGACGACCATCTGCAAGACGCGACGGGACCAAAGGCGTCTTTGCAAAGGCTGTCGAGTGCGGCGCGGCGGTCGTGACGGCCTTACCACTTGGTTCAGCGTGTCCTCCAGCTCCGCCTCCTCGGGGTTCTTGGAGCTGAGGACCAAAACAACAACAACAAGGTGGGAAGGAAGCCGAGAAAATGACAAACAAAAGTGAGCCAATGTCAAGATGAGCGAGAGCGTCAAGAAAACCCGCAAGGGCGGCGGCGCCGTCTGCCCACCTCTTCTTGAGAAGCGAGTCGCAGTATCTGGCGAGCAGCTCGGGCGACTTGCTGGACGACTGCGCCATCCTGGTGACGGCGTTATTGTTGATGAAGCGGCCGCATGCCTGAGGGGGAGCGAGAAGCGTCACAACGCGCCCGATCCGGCGGAACCGCGGACCGGCCGGCCCGGCTGACCTTGTCCAGCGCCGCCACGAAGCCGGCGTCGTTGTTGAAGGCCGACATGACCAAGGCGTTGTACTTCTTGTGCACGTCCAGCGTGGTCTGCACGTACACTTTGGGGTCCTGGACACAACAACGCACAGAGCAGAGGCGGCGTGAGCGCGGCGGCCTCCGCGCGGGGTCGACGTGCGCCGTCGTACGTTGAGCGCCGCCTCGCCGCACTTCTCGATGGCGGCCAGGCCCTGGTTGTGGATGTGAGTCTCCAGAAGCTTCTTCAGCTCTCCCAGGCCGTCCGTGATGCGGGACACCAGGTTGTACATGCGGCCCAAGTCTGACGCACACGCAAGAGCCATCAACACGTCGTTCCTTCAAAGCAAATGGTCCCGTTGCCCCGCCCCGCGCGGCTTACCTTCATTCTTGTCAGCATCCAGAAGGTTCTGGAACTCGGTGTGAAAGATCTCCAGGTGCTTCTCGATGAGGACCTGCTCGCACTTCCTGGCCAGCTCGTCCTGCGTGGACTCGTGGAGGTACACCTGCACGCGCCGCTGCTCCTCCAGCAGCCGGGCCTCCGCCTAGCGTCAAAGCCCACCGTTGACGTCTTCGCCGTCGCCATCGGCGCCGAAGTGCGCGCCTACCTTCTTCATGTACTCGGTGACGGGGTTCTGTTGCAGGAACTCGGTGCTCTCGCGCGTGTAGAAGCGTTCCGTGTCGGTCAGGAACTGGCACTCAAAGTATTCCTTGTAGACGGACAGCGTGGGGCCTTTGGCGAAGGCGTCCTCCTCGTTCAGGCCCAGCTCCACTAAGGCGGCGCACACACACACACACACACACACACACACACATTTCAAACAAACGTGATTTTGTGATCTTTGAGCGTGCGAGTGCTGGAAGGCGCCGCTGTTACAACCCACCTTAAGACTGGCCCACTC